CCGATATACCGCGAGGTGAGCAGTGTGCACCTGCTGTGCCTGCGCGGCAGTCAGCTTGGTCCATGTGGGCCCCCCAAAAAACAACACAGATGAGCTGAGGGCTTCCGAAAGGGTAACCTTCGCCTTGAGACTCAGCGCATGCCGTGGTGCAACAGAAACGCGGATGGGCTTGAAGCCTCCTTCTCCTCCTCCTCCTCCTCCTCCTCCTCCTCCTCCTCCTCCTCCTCCTCCAGTGCTGGAGGCGTGGGCACGGGCCCGAGCGCCACGCGGGTGTCCATGCGCTGCCGACGCACCTCGGACCTGCGCGGCTCCCCCTGCTCCTCGGGCGCTCGGCCCCTCCCCCGCCACCCCTGCGCCGTCGCCCGCCGCGCTCGGCATCGTGTAACCGATCCCCATCCCCATCCCGGGCCCCACCATCTCTGCTCCGCCTCCTCCTCCTCCTCCTTCCCCCCCTCCTCTTCCTCCCCCTCCTCCTCCTCCTCCTCCTCCTCCTCCTCCTCCTCCTCCTCCTCCTCCTACACCCCAGTTGGGGATACACCCTTCGAAACCCGACGGGAGCAGCCTTCTATCCCCAACTGGGGGGGCAGGTCGGCCCGTGGGGCCCAGGCCACGCGAGTGGGGATGGGGATCGGTTGAACGATGCTCCCACGCCGAGGCAGAGGCAAGGGAGGAGATGCCGATGGGAGACGGACCGTGGTCATCGTCTTCTTCGCGGACGGCTTCATGGTCGCGCGGGTCGGGTGTTCTGCAGCGGGCTCTGCCCCCCAAGGCGTGGCCAAACATGAATTTCTGGTTCTTGGGCCAGACAGGTGGTCAGTCTCAGGTGGCCGTTTTCGGGCTCTGGGGCTGTCAGGAAGACCAGGCGGGACGGATGCCGCGTTGAGAAGCGCAGTGCCGGACGCCTGGGGATGGTCAATGGGGCAGACGTGAATGGCGTACCGCTGCAAGTGGTCCCGCTCCCCCCCTCGCCCACTCCTGGGGGAGAGAGGGAGGGGGACACCTTTAGGCTGCAGCTCATGTATGGAGGCCGACGTGAGCACTGGCGATTCTCCGGCCTCCTCTTGCCCAAACTGGGTAGCGCCGCGCACAGTCGTTTCAAACATCTAAGAGCTTCACAGAATGAGGGTGGCTCCTTTTCAAAGGTGGTTCTCGCTTCATCGCCACGCACACTCGTTTCACGAGTGCCCCTGGTTTTCACAAGTGTCCCTGCTTTTCTTTCGCACCAAATATCATGGTTTGGAGGGACTCAGGGTTGTCAGGGCGCAGCAGTCACGATGATTCGCGGTGCTGAAGTCCCAGGCATGGTGCTCGGGCACCTGAATCAGGGTCATCGAGACGCAACACTGAGGTTGATTTGTGGCGCTGGAGTTCCTAGGCTAATGTTTTGGCACCCTTCAGGATCTTCAAACGGTTGCCTCCCTTCTGAGCATTTCCCTTAGTGGAAATGAATCCATGTAGGGGCCTATGAAGAGGGAGCTTGGAAGGGGGGGTTATCTCAACATCGTTGATGACTCGTGGGTTACACTGGTCCCCTCCTCCTCTTCCTCCCCGGCGGCGCCAGCTATACGCCTACACTGGTCCTGGACGCCGATCCTGCGCTGGGGATCGGTGTGCACGCCCTCCTTGCCGGGCCAGGAGGGCGTAGTTTAACCGATCCTCGGCGCAAGGTGGGCCCGGCCAAGATCGGTGCATGTGCACATCGGCATGAATCAAATAACCCCGACCTGTGGATAGTCATCATACCCCCCTTCCCATTTGAGAGTTGACTCTCCCGGGCCAATGCAGGTTTGGTCAGGGAAGACAGGCGGCAAGGCCGAATTTGATTATCGCAGGAAAAAATGCAAATCGAAGTTGCTTCTTCTTATGGTGAGTTGCAAGGAGTCATCAGGATTCCGATTGATTTCTTCGGGGGTCTTGTGGATGCCTTCGGGAATCCCATGGATGTCCTAAGGATTCCTATGGATTTCCGGAGGAATTCTATTTTTGCCCTAAGGAAGCTTATGAGTGCCCTACGGGGTCTTTAGGCACCCGTTATGGAATTCATTAGGAGTGCTGCGCATGTCCTGCGGGATCGTATGGATTTCTTAAGGAATTGCAGAGATTGCCTTCGGAAACCAATCGGATTCTGGAAGGAATCTATAGGAGTCCTCCGGAAATTCATATGGTTCTTTAGGAAATCCATAGGGGGTCCTTAGGACATCCATAGGAGTCCTTAGGACATCCATCGGAAAGCCATAGCATCCTTGAAGGAATCTATAGGAATCCGTTTGGGAATCCATCGGGTTCCTTATGAGATCCATGGGATCCCTCCGGACATCCAGACGATTCCTTCGGAACTCATCTGGCTCCTAAAAAGTACATCTGATTCATTCAGAAAAGCAGAGGAGACCTTAGGAAATCCTTAAGCTCTCGAAGACAATTCATAGGTTCCTTTGACATGTGCCAGATCCCTGGAGATATCCATAGATAGGACTCCTTTGGGAACCTATAGGGCTCTTGGCGACATCCATAGGATTCGTTTGGAAATCAATTGGTATCCTTAAGACACCAATGGCATTCCTTACGACAGCCATAGAAGCCTTTTCGGAAATCCATAGGATTCCTAGGGACATTCATTGGATTCCGAAAGACATCTCTTGGATCCCGTAGAAAATCCATTGGATTCTTTTAGACATCCATAGGATTCCTTCACACACCCAGTGGGACCCTGAAGAAAACAGTTGGATGCCTTAGGCAACCCATAAGGTTCCTTAGAATTTCCATATGATTCCAGACGAAATCTATAAGATGCATTGGGGAATATATCGTACTCGTTCGGAAATCTTCAGAATTCGTAGAGAAATCCATTGGGTCTCTTAGGACATCCATCGGGTACCTTGGAAAATCCATCGGACTCCTTCGAGCGTCAATTATAATCCCTAGGAACTCCGTAGGAGCCCTCAGTCAATCTATATGATGCGGGAGGAAATCCATCGGATTCTTGATGCAACCCATAGCATCCCTCAGGAAATCCAGGTGTTCCTTTTTTTGGAAGTCTACAGCCATCTGTTTGGACATCCATCGGATTCCTTAGGACATCCGTTCGAGTCCTTTGGCAACCCATACGATTCCTAAGGAAATCACCCAGATTCCTTAGGGAATCTATAGGGATCAGTAGACAAGCTTGCGGACCTCTTTGGGCAGCCATAGAAGTCCTTAGGCAACCCATCGGAGTCCGAAGGAAATCCGTAATGAGTGCTACGGATCCCCATCGGATTATGATGGAATTCCTTCGGGGCTTTTTTTGATTTCCAAAGGAGTTTTATGGATGCCATCATTTTTGGTTCCCTAGGGAACCACATAGATTCTTCAAGGAGCCCGATCGGGATTCAAAGGAACCCGACGGAATTTCTCAAGAATGCGATGGATGTCCTGAAGATGTCGATTGGTGTCCGCAGGAACCTCATGGATTCCCATCGGATTTCGATTGTTTTCGTGAGGCATCCTATGGATTTCCTACGGAATCGGATGGGTATCCTAAGGAACCCTGTGGAAGTCCATCGGGTTCCTATGGACTCCCGACGGACCCCTATGGATGTTCAATTGTTCTTCTAAGCGTTCAGGACCATCTTGAGCATCACCATCGTAACCATCTTTACCATTATGCTGAGCTTCCCGGGAAAACGTTTATTCTCCCGCTTGGGTCCCGAGCTTTCTTTTCCCAAGGGGGTTACTATGTGGAACCGAGGTCTAGGAGACCGACTGCAGAATTGATGTACCCCAAATTTGATGTTTGTTCGTCTGGTCTACGACAAATGCGTGGCATGGCTCGTAGATCTACGAAAATGTTACGTTTTTTTTTGTCCGTCGTAGGTTCAGTTTTCCGGGGGGTCAATTCTGTGGCCGATCTCTTGGTCGAATGAAAGGCAGGTGCCCTCTCATGGGGGAGACGCATCCCCGGCCCTTGGAGTTGTTCCTCTCCAGGACCAGTCCCCCATCGCAGGTCAAATCTTGATGGCCCCGATGCCCGTGGAGGGCCCTGGGGGGGCCCGAGGACGGCGAAAGAGTGAGAATCTTTAATTCAAGGGCATACAGAACGCCCCTACCCTGGTTTACGAGGCGCTGTGCACTGAAACTCTTGTGGGCTAACAGAGTAAACCCTGCGTGGTGTGCGGCGTCTCGGCAGCTCTCTAGGCTCTGGGGGTTCCCAGGAGGTTTACAGACCACGCACTTGTAACCCAGGGTAGGGTCGTTTTGTCATCCCTCAATTAATCGCATCAGATCGCCGTTCCTGGAACTTCAACGCCGCGAACAAACGTGACCGTTGCGTCCTGACAACCCTCAATCGCGCCAGTACACCATCCCTGGGACGTCGAGGCCACATACGAATCCTTGGAACATTGTCGAATGTATAAAACGCGCGCTAAGGCGAGAGCCACATTTTGAAAAGGATCTTCCCTCCATTCTCGAGTTTGGTCCCAACTTATGAATACATGTGCGCGGCGTTGAGGCGAGATCCACATGGGGAAAACGTGCCATCATTCACCGTCCATGACGCTGATAAAAACTTTCAGGACGAGCGTGCGTGGCGCTAGGGCTAAGGCGAGGGCCACATTTTTTCGAAAACGTGCCGCACTCCAACCTTGAAGCTGCTGCAAATAACACGCCTCAGGATCACCCCTGGTTATTAGGTCTCAGGCGAAACGCCTGACCCGACATGCGTACACGTCGGGGGTTGCGACGGGGGAGTCAGTCATAAGGGAGAGGGATGGATGAGGAGGAGGAGGAGGAGGATCAGGAGGAGGAGGAGAGGGAGGAGGAGAAGAAGGAGGAACGGAGGGGGAGGAGGAGGAGGAGGAGGAGGAGGAGGAGGAAACGGGTAGTCGATGAGGAGGAGGAGCCCAGGGGCCAGGTGGACGAGGACCCCGAGAAGCCCGAGCCGGCCCCTGCGGCGGAGCCCGACGTCGCGCCGGCCGCCCCGCGGAGGACAGGCATGATGGGGCTGTCCGACCTGAAGAAGGATGGCCAGGGGAGGGTCGGGGCGGGCGAGAGGGCGAAACCCTAAACCCTAAACCCTAAAGGAGTGGATACCCAGACCGGGTGTTGGATCCTGGCGTCGCAAATGGTGCGCAACGGGCGATGTTACTTACTTTGTTGGTGGGGCCCCGCGACCTTCACGGATGGATCCAGCTCGACAAGCGTTGCAGAAAGATGGGGTCAAGGGTTTTGGTCACGTATTCTACGATGTTGCATATTTTCTGTGACGTCTGATCCCGTTGCTCTTCGCGGCGTGGACACATCAAGACAGGAGTTGAGTTTGCTATTTTCAGACTCTGGGGGCCCTCGCCAGGTCCCCGCTCAGCCAGAACAAATAATCCGGATGAGATGCTGGTACCCAGCAAAGGGGTCAAGATTTCACGGGTCCAGGTCTTACAACGAAAGCACGACGTCGGGGGGGCTTGGGCGATGGATAATGATGATGATGATAATACTCATGGTTATGCTGCTGCTGCTGATGATGATGGTGGTAATGATGATAATTGATGTTGACGATGATGACGTTTATGATGCTGCTGTTGCTGATGGTGATGATGACTGTCATGACGATGCTGATGATCATGATTATGATGATGGCGATGCTGGTGCTGATGCTGCGAGTGGGGATGCTGATACTGATGATGATGGCCATGACGATGGTGATGGGGATGATGTTGATAATGATGATGATGATGAGGATGAGGATGAGGATGAGGATGAGGATGATGATGACGATGATGAACATGATCATGGTCATGATCATGGTCATGGTGTTAATGGTGGTAGTGATGACGGTGATGATGCTGACGACGACGATGACGATGCCGATGGTGATGATGATGCTGATGATGATGGTGATGATGATGACGATTATGATGATGATGGTGAAAATGGTGATGATACGGGTGATGATGATGATGATGATTATGATGATGATGATGATGATGATGATGATGATGATGATGATGATGATGATCCTGATCATGGTAATGGTCATGTTTAGGGTCAGGGTGAAGGTTACACTGACAATGATGGCAATGCTGATGTTGACGGTGACGGTGACGATGACGATGATTTTGATGAGGGTGTTAACGATGACGATGACGATGACGATGACGACGACTGTCATCGTCATCGCCATCGTCATCGGGGAGATACCAGGCGGGGCTAGAACCAGGATAAATCGTTCCAGAGCTTCGCGAAGCACTCTCAGAGCGCGTTCTGGTGCGCTCTCGAACGACCGCGGGCGCTCGATGATGTCGGTCCTCGGAGAGCCCCGATCTGTTCCGATGTTGCCCCTGGTCAGGAGGAAAAGGCCGATGCAAAAGAGGAAAGAGGCTGGGGGCCGATGTATGTCCACCGCTCTACCCGCGTACCTTGTGCCTTACCAGGTTGTTTGTTGGGGTGTCCGGAGCCTTGAGACAGGGGATCATGCAAACAGGGGTCAGCCAGAGCGCCAGTTCTCGCAGCATCTTGCAGAGCCAGGGCCACGTTCCCCCTGTTTCGATTGCCGGACCCTGTAGGGTCCTGCAGGATCCTGGAGGATCCTGCATAGCCCGACTGGCCCGGGTTTGCATTGACCCGGGTCAGTGCGTCCCCGTGGGTGGTGTGCAAACATCGTGTGCCCAGGGGATGCCATTTTTGTTCACACACACACACACACACACACACTTTTTTCCGGTCGGCAGCTAGGCAGAGTCACTTCGCTGGCGATAGGGCGTTGGTAGGTCGTACGAAACGCGAATAGAGTCACCATGCAGGCCACACACACACGCACACACACACACACCGCTCCGCGGTCTTGTGCCAGACACGCTTGTTTGTGTGTGGGGGCTGGCACAAAGATCGCGCCCCCAAAAGAGAGAGAGAGAGAGAGAAACAACAAAAAAAGAGAAAGAGAAAGAGGGATAGAGAGAGATGGAAGAGGGTGGATATGGGACTATCCGACCCCAAGCGGCTGTCTCTGTTTGTCCGCTTTCGTCGCCTGCGATGGAGATCCACATTGAGGGCCGTGCGACTCAAGAAGGCCGGCCTCATGAGGGGGAAGAGTGAGTTGTGGAGGAGGAGGAGGAGGAGGAGGAGGAGGAGGGGGAGGAGGAGGAGGAGGAGGAGGAAGAGAGGGAGCAGGAACGCTGGGCATGATGAGGAAGGAGGAGAATAATAATCTGCAGCAGAAGGAAGACGATCATGATGACAAGGGAAAGAAGAGAGTAGAAGGAGGATGAGGAGGAGGAGGAGGAAGAGGAGGAGGAGGAGGAGAAGGAGGAAGGGAAGCATGGAGGGAGAGAGCTAGGAGGGAGCAGGAGCACGAGGAGGGCGAAGGCTCAGGAAAAGGGAGCAACAGGCGGCGGAGCAACAGGATGAAGCTAACCAGGATGAGGCTGCCCGGCCGGCCTCACGATGGGCGGCCTTGTCGCTGTCGACGTCGACGTCGCCGTCGCATGATGCAGCGTTCCGATCTAAAGGAGGACGAGTTGTGGACAGAGTGATAAGGGAAGATGGGGCCAGAGGAGGAGGAGGAGGAGGAGGAGGACGGTCGAGGAGATGGCATGGCAGGAGTGAGGTGGAAGGAAACGAAGGCATAGACGGGCCTCGCCTCCCGCGGGATGGCCGGGCAGAGCGGCGCTGCTCCTCTCCCCAACGCAGGTCATCGTCGTCGTCGCCGTCGTCGTCCTCTTGCTCCTCATCCCCTTGCTCCTCATCCCCTCGCCTTCCCGCCCGCTTCCATCTCGTCGTCGCCCTCGCCCCCCTCCTCGTCGTTGGGCCCGACGGCCGACGTCGTGGCATCTTCGTGGCACGGCTCCCCCAAACTCTCGGGCTAGATCCCAGGAATGGGTCTCCCGCTCCCCGCCGTTGCTCGACGATCCCCGAGGCTCCAGACTTCTCGTGGCCCAGCTTGATGGGCGTATTTTCCACCACCACCACCACAATTTGGAGGGGGAGGGGGTCCTCCTCCTCCTCCTCCTCCTCCTCCTCCTCGTCCTCCTCCTCGTCCTCCTCCTCGCCCTCCTCCTTCCCCCCTCCAACTTATAGTGGTGGTGGTGGAAAACAAGCCCATCACAGCTCAAGAGGAGTTACCGATGCTCACGACGTCTCTCGCGTGACGCCGGGACGTCTGGGGCCTCGAACAGTACACGCAGCACCCCGCAGTCGCGGAGAAGGATTCGGTGGCGGGTGCCGGGTGGGTCGCGTGTGCTTGGCGGGTGTGTCGCGGGGTGGGTCGCGGGGTGGGTCGCGGGTTGGGTCGCGGGGTGGGTCGCGTGTGGGTGGGTTGGTGGGGGGGGATCGCAGGCGACTGACTGCGACAGCAGCAGCAGCAATCGTTTTAATACTGTTTGCTCTTGTCTTCTCGCGTGTCACTCAGCATGTCTATCCCAAACCTTCGATGCCCGCCCTCTTCGTCTTCGATTGCGGACCCCCTTAGGGGCATAACTTCTTTACCTGCCACGTGTACTTAGCGCAGCCCCTAAAACAGCAGAAAGGAGGGAGGAGGGAAGGGGCAAAGGGGAGGGAGAAGGATAGAGGACGAGAGATATTATCAGGAGGGGGTCAGGAGCAGGAAATAAGCGGCAGAACCAGACGGGCCGGTCGGCCGGGCGGACCCTAGCGTGCGAGTCGGGCGGGCGGGGCTAGACGGCCCGGTCGAGCGGGCGGGTCGCTGAAGCGTCAGTCTTGCATGAATCGCGAGGAAGTCTCGAGCGATAGCGCGATTCCCAAGTATATATTGTAGGGAAATCCAGAGTGGGAGCTGATTCCTGAGTGTCGATGGCGCGGCGTCTTAATACATTGCGAGGAGGTCCTATGCGAGAGCGCGATATTTGAGTAAATTGTGAGGGGGTCCCGCGCGAGAGCGCGACTTTGAATGAATTGTGATGAAGTGTCAGGCGGGAGCCGTTGTTCGGAGGCCAACAACGCAGTCTGAGGCTCAATATGTTTTCTTGTTCGAACAAGCGTGCGAGCCCCGGGAGGGACACTTCAATGGAGAACACACAAGGTGGACCTGAGGGTGGGGAGCAACAAGCATCATGCGATAGGGCTGAGAATGCAACAAGAAGTTCAAAAGTTTTCGCTCTTCGCTGCTCCTGTGTAGTTCAACATGTATCAACCCCCTTCGTCTTCAATCGTTCCCCCTTAGGGGGCTTGTTTTCCTTACCTGTCACGTGTAGTTGGCGCAACCCCTACAACAGGAGGAGGAGGCAAGGGGGAAAGGTAGAGAGCACGGAAATGAGGAGGAAGCGACAAAGGAGGGAGTCAGGGAACCTCCTCGTCGCGCCCCTGGGAGGGGGCTGGACAGGAGACGAAGTCCCGGCGCGGGCCCATGCCGAAGCTGCCGGAGCTGAAGCCCCTGCGGTCGCCTTCCCTGGCCGGACCCTCGCTTTGGACCTCGGTTGGCCACACGTGCCGTGCTGTTCCGTCGGCTGCCAGGGGAGGAGGATCTCTGAGGCAAGGGTTCAACAGCTTTTCGCCGACCGACTGGTGGGGATCAAGCCGGGGAAGTGAAGGTAAATGCAGATCGTGATCTTTTTTATGCATTGCTTTGCCGATCGGCGCAGGCCCTCGCCCCCCCCTCCTCCCCCCCCCATGGAGTAGATCTTGGCTGTTTGTGGCGCCTGTTTCGAGCAGGTGGAGTCTCCCCCGTGGGACGCACGGTTCCAGACAGCCGCGCCAAGCAGTGGTCCAGAGCCAGACCCCACCCCCCTCTCCCCTCCCCTTCCGCCCAGTGTTGAAACGCCGAATAAGAGAACGTTCACATAGATCGATGCATATCCACGTAAATTTAAGTCGGGCGTGTCCCTCCTCTATAGGAGGAACATCCAAAATAAGCAAAAATAGTCGGGTGAGCATTTTTGCAGTATTTTTTGACCAGTTTGGGGCATTTTTTATTGATCATTTTTCATCCAAGTTCCCCCTGTAGGAGGACAGGCCAGACTTCAACGTGAATCCCTGTACATGCAGGCACCTCCAGGGAAGTTGGGAGCAGACCGTGGCCGCTCCATCGCGAGTCGAGGCTCAGCAGGAGTTGTTGGGCCCTGGACCGGAGGAGGAGGAGGAGGAGGAGGAGGAGGAGGAGGAGGAGGAGGAGGAGGAGGAGGAGGAGGGGGAGGATTAGGAGGAGGAGGAGGAGGAGGAGGAGGATCAGGAGGTGGACCCTGAGATCCTGGTGTCGCACCTCTTGCGCAACGGCCGTGTTCGCCCGGTCTTGGGCCCCAGGACCATGACAGATCGATCCAGCTCGGCACATGCCACAAGAAGTTGGGGTGTCCAGGGCTCTGGGCGTGATTATTGCTGCGATGCTGTATTTCTGTTGCAACGTCGTGTCTCAGGGGAGGAGGAGGAGGAGGAGAAGGAGGAGGAGGAGGCGGGGGAGGAGGAGGAGGAGGAGGAGGAGGAGGAGGAGGAGGAGGAGGAGAAGAAGGATGATGATGAGGAGGAGGAAAATCATTGGCTCAAGCCCAAGACTCATCAACGATGTTGGGATATACCCTCCCTCCACGCTCCCTCTTCGTAGGCCCCTTCAAGGTTTGATTCCCACGCGTGCCCAAACACCATTCGCAGGATTTCTACGCCACGAGTTAAACTGACTGCTACGTCTTGGGTATCCTGAATCGTAATCGTGCCAGAACACCATTCCTGGGACGTCAACACAGCGAGTCAGCGTCACTTCTGTGCTCTGGCAATCCTGAAACGTTCCAGAACACCGTTTCTGGCACGTTGATTATCAGACCGAGTGCAGTTCTTGCCGATGTTTACAACGAGTGTGCCCGACGCTAGTGCGAGAGCCACACTATGAAAACGACCCACCTTCAATCCGTGAAGCTCCTGCAAATGCTTAAAACGAAGGTGTGCGGCGCTACGACGAGAACCGCAGTTTGAAAACAAACCGCCCTATGTCCGTGAAGCTCTTGCAATGTTTGAAAAGGAATGTGCGCGGCGCGTCATGATGAAAGCCACCGCCCTCCACCCGCGAAGCTCTTGCAATCTCGTGCAACGAATGTGCTCGGCGCTAAGTCGAGAACCACATGCTGGAAACCACCCGTTCTCAAGCCGCGAGGTGATGGTAGATCTTCAAAGCCGAATGTTCGCGGCGCTGAAGCACGAGCCACATTTTGAACATGGCCCGACCTCAAATTGTGAAGCTCTGCCAATTAGTACGAATGTTCGCGGCGCTAAGGCGAGAACCACATTTTGAACCCACCCGCTCGCACTCCGTGAAACTCCTGCAAACTTGTAAAGTGAATGTGTGCGTCGCTAAGGCGAGAGCATCATTTCGAACACGACTCGCCCTTAATCCTGCAGTGTCATTTCTGAATGTTAAGCATTAGTATGCTCGGCGCTGAGGCGTGAGCCACATTTTGAAAACGACCTGCCTTCAATCCATGAAACTCTTAAAATATTGAAATGAATGTGCACGGCGCCAATGCGAGATCCGCATTTTGAAAGCCACCTGCCCACCATATGTGCAGCTGATGCCAGTTTTTAGGCTCCAGGCACATCAAGCGTGAGGAAAGCTCAGGCGAAACGCCTGGCCCTCCATTTCGATCGGCTTAAGGGTGCGACAGGTAGGAGTAATCTTCCAGGAAGAGAAATGGAGGAGGAGAGGAGGAGGAGGAGGAGCAGTAGAAGGAGGAGGCGGAGGAGGAAGAGGAGAAGAGGAAGAGGAGTAGGGGGAGGACGATGGATGAGACTCTCTTGCTGGAACTCTCTCCTTGATGGTTTCGGCCGTTGGGGGCCCGTGTCGGGTTCCAGTAGCGGTTGAAAGAGGGTCCACGGGGAGAAACATGCCAGCATGGGCAATGGGATGAGTCCAGGGATTGATTTTGGGCGGGTCCTGATCAAATGGGGAAGGAGGGGAGGAGGATGAGGAGGACCGAGAAGGAGGAGCGAGGAGAGTGACGATAAGGAGGAGGCGGATTGAGGAGGTTCCAGGATCGATGTTCTTGGACGTGAGCCCTGTGTTTGGGCCTCTGGGTGTCGTCTCGGGGCCATGGCTGGGTACGCCTCGGCGTTCTGGCCAGAAAGCACCCTAGGTGCGCAGGTCGACATCTGAGCGAGGTTGTGGAGGCGGAGGATTGGAACGAGGATCCAACCGCCCTGTCTCTCCAAACAAGTCAACGCACGGTTTACTACATGTTTGCTGCTTGCCGAGGCCCGCTTCCCAGCTCTGGGGCCATCGAAGCGCGACCCGCAGCAACACACAAGTGACCCAGGGATTGGGTTCGAGAGCTTCAGCGCCGCCTGCCGTACACGAGCCACGCCGCCGGAGATCTTGGGAAGAGGACGAGGAAGTCCTCCCCCCAGACCGACGGCTGATGTTGAGAAGGATGAGTGCGTAGGTCTCCTCGCACAGGGTCTGCTGAAGCCAAGGGCGCAGATTGCAGCCGTTTCCGCATCGTTCCATTCCCAACGTTGTGTTCCAGGCTGCGGGCAGGGGTGTCAGCGCACCATGCCCCAAGCGGCACCTGCCAAGTTGTAAACGACAACCAATATGTACGTAGCACCCCGCAGTTGCGGATAAGAGTGAGGGTGCGGGCGCGTGGTAGGTTGCGGGAGGGTCGCGCGCGGGTGAGTCGTTGGGTGGGTCGCGTCGGGGTCGCGTGTGAGAACGACGGCAACGACAACGCAACAACAATAATCCGCACCGCGGGACCCCACTTCAGCCACGAGCCCAGGGACAGTGAATGACCGTCCGGTCCCCTCACTCTTGATGTGGCGGACTTGAAGCGCCGTTTGCTGATGTGCGAAACGTGGGAAGGGTCGCTCGGACGACGTGCAGCCGTGAAGTTGGCAGGAGGGCTTCCAGCGAAAAGATGTGTGCACTCGCAGGGGTATTGGTTTGAACGCAACGTGCGAACGTGAGCGCTTTTGATAGAATCATGTATCATGTGGTTTGGCTCTTTCCAGGTCGTACGACACCCCGGAAAACAAGAAGTTCATAGAATTGGTCGTCACATTGCCCTTGTTGCCTTGCTACTTTTACCCATACTGCTCGCGTTTGCAGACTGCGTTTTATAATCCGTGAGGGGGAGGCGTGCGGCGTGCACGCCGTTCAGTTCCCATCAGCGTAATGGTACAAACCGTGTGTCGTCGTTGTGTGCATGTCATGTTTGTTTGCTGTATTCGCAATTGCCGTATCCTCGCAATTGCCGTATCCCAGTGATCGGTGACAATGATGCTATCAATGCGAGGCTCCGTCCAAATCCAGGCACTTGCAAGGTGTAAGTGCAAGTGCATTGCCGAATTTTATATCTGACGGTCGCAAGGCAGTGTGACAGTGATGTAGATCGGATGTTTATCTACAGGCGCCCTTGAGCTTGCAGGCTAGAGTGGCAGTCGAATCGTTAGACAGATGTTGTGAGCTTTGGCGTATCAATACGCTTCTTCTCCTACCTTCCTTTGCTGATTCAAGTAAATGGAGTTCGTCCAGTGATAAGTTTACCGGTCCAGAGGGTCATTGTAGTTTGTGAGACTCAAGAAGTGTTGCGGGATGCTACGTTCAGGGGGCAAGAAGAGGCGCAGGCAATGTGTGAAGTTATCTTTATCTGATGCCGTACGCGCCCGTACTGCAGCTGGAACAAAGGGCTTGTAGTACGATTGTTGAGGCTGGCCGCCACGACGGAAGAGGAATTCGGGAAGGTCGGGATCGGACGCGAGGCTACACGAGGCCCCCAAGAGTGTCCTAAGAACCTCTTTAAAGTTTTAGGGGTGTCTTGGGACCCTTATGGAGCTTCCTGGGGCTTCGTGGCGGTTCATTTTGGAGCTTCCTGGGGCTTCGTGGCGGTTCATTTTGGCCGCCTCCGGGCTTCGTGGGGACCTTTGAGGGGCTTGTCGGGCCCCGGACCCCCCCCCCTTTCGGGGGTGCTGTTCTGGCCCGGGGCCCCCCCCTGGGACCCTCCCCAGCCTTAGCCCGCCTGGGACCCCCTGGAGGCTTCCCGTCGACTCATCGAGGACGTTGCTGAATTTCGCTTCTTGAAGTCTCTTTGGAGTTCTCTTGGGGGCTTCTGTGGGGAAATTTTGGGGATGTGTTGGGAGCCTTTTCGAAGCCTCCTGCTGCTTCCTGGCGGTACCTTGGGGGCGCTTGGGGGCCTCGTGAGGGCCCCGTGGGGGCCTCTGGGGGGCCTCTTGGGCCCCGGGACCCCCAGGGAGGGTATTCTGACCCGGGACCACCCCCAGACCCCTCCCTCAGACCCCCCCCCTTCGGCGGCGTTGGGATCAAAGGGCAGGGGCATCCCTTCGACCTATGTACGACCTTGATCAATTTCGCTTTGGCTGTTCCGCTGTGGCTGGCGCCCAGGAGGAGGAGGAGGAGGAGGAGGAGGAGGAGGAGGAGGAGGAGGAGGAGGAGGGCCCAGGGAAAACGGCGGAGCGGCGACGGCGACGGCGACGGCGACGGCGACGGCGACGGCACCGGTGACGGCGACGGTGTCGGCGAAGACGACTACGACGACGACGAGTCAGACGAAACAGTCTCTCGCACACGCCGATAGGGTCGGCGGATTTGCGACCATCAGCCCGACACCAGGCAGTGCCAGGAAGGCAGGCATTGGTTTTCATTGGTGCCAGATCCGTTTGGACGCAAAGTATCTGCCTCATGCTGTAAGGGTCATAGCGCGTTGACATTTTGCACGTTGTGCTTCGACTGGTTGTTTGACAAGAGACTTCAAGAATTGCGAGCGCGATTGCAGTCGAAACTTGACTGCGATCCCGATGCTTTCCTGGTGGTGCTTCCTCGGTTTGGGTGCTTGAGAGCGCAAGGTCAAAGCTGGACGAGTGCCAGAGGAGCTGCAGAAGAAGGATGCCGAAGGCCCACGCTGTCCTTGTCTGCTGATGCACTCGATCTGGTGGCCGCCAACTTGGGACGCACGGTCGTGCGGGAGACGTGGGTGGCCTGCAGGACTCGAAGCGCCGAGCGGCTCAGCCCAGTCTGATGAGACAAAAACCGTGGTGCGCCAATAAAACAGGGCTAGGATCGGGAGCGGCCGCGGCGCCCAATACATCCTCCAAACCCGCCGATTCTCAGAGATTTCGAGTTATCCCGATCCGATTTTGTCCCGATCTTCGCGTCGTTGTAGCCAATGGGGCCGGGACTTGCGCGAACGGGTGCGACCAGCTGCATGCAATCGCGGTTGCAAATGCCAGCTGATGTGCGCCGAGACGGCACGCGACCAGGTGCAACAGTGCAGCTTCTGCGAGACTCTCTCCCTTCATATCACGTCCCCTCGTCCGGGTCAGGGAACCAGCGAGCTAGGCACGGGAGACAGTGCTCCACCCCGGCTCTGCATGTTCGTCTCCGCTCTGTACCCCTACATCCGCGATCATGAGCGGGCCAGTCCTGTTCAACCAAGGGGGAATCTCCGAGCGTCCTCTAAGCCCACGGCTTCTGTACTATGTATCGTCTGGCGCGCTTGAGCTGCCCTGCACTCGGAGAAGTTGTGTTCCCTCGGATGCCTTCTGCCTTCCGTCGTCGAGCCTGCGTGTTCTCCGTTCTACCGCCGAGCTAACCGGCGGGGTCTTCCCCCGTGCGGCGCCAGGGAAGCCGATCCCCCTCACGTTTGGCATCGAGGACGCCCGACCCATGTCTTATGAGGAGCTCGACCGCCGCATAAAGCAGATGAAGAAGATGGAAGCGGACGACGAGCAGGCCCGACGCGCGCCGTCGCCCTCATGCGCCCCCCTTTGCTGCGAAGCCCGACCCCCCCCAAGAAAAACACACAAAACACACATACACACATCAAAACAACAACAAACGAAACAAAACACGACAAAACACAAAAGAACACAAAACACACAACAACAAAACACATGAACAACAAACAAAAACAACAACAACAAAACACACACACACACACACAAACAAACACACACCGATCAACGGTTCAGGCAACTCAGTGAGCGGCGGGAGCAGGGTTCGGATGTCGCCACCTACCCCACCTCGTGCCCGGCTGCAGCTCGCCCTCCTCCCCCCCGTCTTCCCTCCTCCTCGGCATTCTTCTCCAGTCTCTCCCCCCTTCTCACCCTCTTCCCCCTCCCTCCCACTCCCACCGACGGTTCAGCAAGCACTCCCTTTAGCAGGGCCTTGTGTCACGTGGTCGCTGAGGGGTCCACAACTCGATCTGTCCCTCGACTCGCGCTAGAGCTTTCGTCACCCATTCCGTATTTGCTTTAAGCTCTCTGGACGTTCCCCTCGATCCGTCCGGACCTGCGCAGGTTTGCGTGCATTTGCCTCGCCTCACCTCGATCTGTTTGGATCGAGGCCGGCACGCCCAAGTGAGAAGAGTCGCCAAGGCCGTGTGAACTGATCTTGCTCTCCCGCGACGCCGTCGTCGTCGTCGCCAGTTTTTGTTGAGATCGTCGTCGTCGTCGCCAATTTGTTTGAGATCGCCAGTTTTTTGAGATCGCGTCGTCGTCGTCGTCGTCGCCAGTTTCTTTGAGATCGCGGGGGGCGGCCCGTTCCTGCCCGCCCGCTGCCACGGCGGCCTCCAGCAGTCTCGGGGTACGCCTCCACCGATCTTCCGGAGGCAGCCAAGGGGGCCTCCGTCACCGGGGCACGGACGTGTGATTTTTTTTTTCGGCGAGGACCCCTGAGGAACATCCTGGATCATCGAGCGAAAGAAACACGCACGATACCGAAAAATCCACGGGAAATAGACGTCCGAGCGACGGCAAGAGACGGGGATCAATGCAAACGGTGGTCAGCCAGAGCGCTGGATCTTGCAGGATCCTGCAGAGCCAGGGGCGCATCGAACTCGGACTGGGTGCAGAGTCCTGCAGGATCCTGCGAAGCCTGGCTGGCCTGGCCCGAGTCTGGATAGACCCAGGTCAGCAGATCCCTGAAGGCATGCATCTACGGACGACGATTGAATGTGCAGCTCGCGCGAGCTTTGACGAGGTGAGTGCTTCGAGTGGCCATGTGATGAGTCAAAAAGGCTTACCTTTCTCCTGCGTGCGCAAATTTGGAGGACCAATGCATTGTATCATGTGCCTTCTCCGTTCTCCTCCTCCTCCTCCTCCTCCAGCTCCTACTCTTAAGCCGGGCCTGTCCCTCTACAGGGGGAATTTTCAAAAATAGTCAAAAAATAGTCGGTGGACGATTTGTTGATTATTTTTGAGTATTTGGAGGGTATTGTTTGAGCATGTTTCATTTTTTCGTCGAAAGTCCCCCTGTAGGGTGACAGGCCCGACTTAATCCTACTCGTCCTCCTCCTCCTCCTCCTCCTCCTCCTCCCCCTCCTCCTCCAGCTTATCCTCCTCACCCCGCTCATCCTGCTTTCCCTCCTGGGTGGAGGAGAGCACAGACCCAGATTGCTCCGAGAGCCTGGCCCGCCACTCGCGACCGCAGCCGCGGTGACCGGCACCGCCCCCTATGGAGCCTCGGGAAAGGGGGGGCGGGCCGGAGGGGCGCAAGAGGAGGAGGGAGGACGGGCAGAGGAGCAGAGGGAGGAAGAGACATCTTCTCTTGCTGCGCCCGCCAGGCCTAATTCGTTTGCGGTTTGCCTGAGTCGGCCTCGCATTAACGCTCGGGGCTGCTGCGTTAAGTCCGCGCAGCGTCAAAGCAAGAAGACAGAGGAAGGTGGTCAGCCCCCCACCAGCCCACAACCAGCGGCGGTTGCGGGGCAATGGGGCGGGCCGAGAGGGCAGAACGGGGAGGAACGTGGAGGAAAGAGGAGCGAGACGGCGGGGGGAAGGAGGGAGGGCGCCCCAGGACCAGGAGAGGTGGCCACAGCGGCGGGGGATTCCAGCCGCGACCTCCCAGAGCCACCAGCAAGAGAGGGCGAGATAGAGCCCCCCCCCCCGAGGAGGCATGGAGGAGGGGGAGGAGGAGGAGGAGGAGGAGGAGGAGGAGGAGGAGGAGGAGGAGGA